AACAAAATCAAAGGACAAAATCAAAAGGACAAAAAGGATCCAGATCGCAGACATAGTAGTGTAAAGACCGAGCAAAAAAAAAAGATTTGGAAAAGATATTAGAGCAATTCTAAAGGATGCCACAGAAACTAAATAAGAATTTTTATGTTCCCTTTCTACACATTGAAACTGAATATGAACTGAAATTCTGGTCTTACAAAACCCCAAGGCTTTTGACATACTTACAAAAATTCACACCCTCTCTTTTTAAGTCTCAAGAGTGACTTATTAGACTGCCACCCAAAAGCCTGAAGAATTCAAGTATATATGTAATTTAGCAATCAAAGACCAACTATAAACAAATTACAATTATAACCATCATTTCTCATGTAAAAAATGGTGCCTATTCATTTTAAATCCCTGTATTTTTCCTCTTGTTCTTAGTGAATAAGTCTAGGTCTGCTTTGAAAGTTATTAGAAATCAGGTACAGATATTAGTCATAAAAAGGCTTATAATATTTTTTCTTGGGGTGATATCATGGTTCTCTGTACTACAGTAGCTAACTTTTTGCTAGACTCTAGGAAGAACTTAAGTTCTGGCATTACTGCTGCTTTGCTGATTAGTTCAGTATCAGAAACAATCTATAGACAAAAGGGTCTATCACAGAGTACCTTATCTTATTCATCTCAGAAACTGTGACCAAAATTCCAGAAAGTAATTGGATTTTCAAAACTGAACACAGTTTTTCTCCCAATTCAGTCATAACTGACAGGGCCAGAAGGTAATGATATACCTGCCATGATGCAACAAGCAGACCTGTCTTCTGTCAGGGGTTGAAATCATAAAGGAATAAGCTGTCATTAGCAGCCTCTCTCCAAACACTAGAGCTGTCATCTCACTGTTTCTTTGCTGGTGGTGTGAGAGCTGGTGTGACCACATAGGTCTTATCAGCTCAGAAATGTACCAAGCTTTAACCTTCTTCAAGTTTTTACTCCAAACATGTTTTATGAAGTCTATAATGGAAAAAATAACACATTTTCTTTAATTAATTTATATTATGTCTAAAGTGTACTCTTATAATTTAGAATTGTTGGCCTTGGCTTCAATAGTTTCATATTCATGTACCCAAAAATGAGCATTTAAAGGAAATTCAGTGACTTAAATTTCATTTTTAAAGGAAAAAATAATTATTTAAGCAGATGGTTTCAGGTTTATAGTTAAACATTTACTAAATTGTAAAATCTTTCAGAAATAATCAAGCCAATAACTATATTATCACAGAAAATTTTATATGAGCTGGCTTTGAACCGCGATCCTCAGATCTCAGCCTCTTGAGTAGCTAGGATTACAGGTATAAGGCACCGGCGCCCAGTCCAAAATATTTATTTTAAAATGTTGTGCAATTGTTTTGATTCTGAGGTCTCTGAGAAGTTAAACATGTATTTCTTGCCATAGTCTTTATTGTGCTTGCATTATGAATTCAATACTTTCTTATAAGCTGCTATATGACATTATTCCTGTTAGAAAAGTAATTATGCCTTACTTTAATATAATATTCTTATTTTCTATTATCTAATACTCATCATAGTCATTAAAATCTTATGAAAATTTCCCATTACCATATTTGTAGGATATTGTTGAAATACAATTTGTAATATACAATTGATAGAACAGGAATTATAGGTACGAGCTGAAGTATAACCAAAAAGTTTATTATCCAACTTACTAGGAAAAAAGTCATATCCTGTTCTAGATCATTATACAACAGGACCCCATGAAATTCATGAAAAATTCTAACCCTGCAACCAATCAGTTTTACAGGTGTACCAATCAGAGGAAAAAAAGAAATTAGCTAGCTTACTTGTATTATCTTATCACCTTTCTTCTATTACCCTGGAAAAGTTGAGAATGATTCAGAAATGAGACGTAAGCAAGATACTGTGGAAATAAGAGGTAAGCTTATGACTAAAAGCAGAGACACATGTTTTAAATTCATGACCAACCTCCTCCCCAAATTAACAAGTACAAGTACAAAGCATATTATAATCTCACATTGGGTGGCTAGACCTGTAATAGATAGCAAGTTGTTTTTTTTCTTTTCTTTGTAGAACTTATCCAGAAAAGGGCTGGAATAAGGACATCAGAACACAGAAGAGAAAAAGAAACAAGGCTCAAATAAATTGTTCTAAGCAAAAAGCTTCCCAACATTAAGGATCATGAGTGTGTATTCTAAATGCAGAAAAAAACCCACACTAACTGCCAAGCAGAAACAATCAAAAGCAAAAGTAAACAAATACTGAAAAAAAAATTCTGAGACAGTGTCTCATGATACAACCCAATCTAGTCTTGAATTCACTGTCCTCTTACCTCTACTTCCTATTACTGGGAATGTAGGTATGAACCACTATACCTGGGAATATGATTTAATGCTTATCAGAAAGGAGAGTAAGATTCCACAGTAAACAACAGACAGAATGGTACTAGGCTTTTCAATTATAACAATATTTACCTGGCCAAGCACTAGTGGCTCCTATCTGTAATCACTACTCAGGAGGCTCATCTTGGGATTGCAGAGTGAAGCCAGCCTGACCAGGGCAGGCCATGAGACTCTTATCTCCAATTAAAAACCAAAAAGCCAGAACCAGAGCCATGGCTCAAGTGGTAGAGCACTAGCCTTGAGCACAAAAGCTCCCCAAACCAAACCTAAATTTAAAAAAACCCAAAGATAATTTTTAAAAAGCCTTCAAATTTCAGAATGTAAATTATTTTCAACCTGTAAATTGATGCCTATTGAATTATTCAAGTGGAAAAGTAGACTAAATGCATTTTTAAGAAATGCAAGATTTGAAATTATATTTTGTATTAACTTTTTGATGGTTCCAACAAAAGGAGAGCATATACCAAGAAACCACAGATCAAAGCCAGCCACAGTGGTACATACAGGTATTCTCAGCTACTGAGGAGGCAGAGGCAGGAGGAACATGTTTTAGTCCAGCTCCAGCCAAGTCAGTCAGATCCTACGTCAAACAAATTAAAAAGAGGTGGGAAAAGATGATATTAGAACATCCACTGTTCTGACTCCATGAATGAGAAGAGCCAGATAACACAAGAGAGTTTACATCCTGAAGAGGGAAATGGTGGAGGAACACTGGGAACCAGGAAGAGGGAGCAAGACAGCAGAAAAAATCATGGAGAAACAGAAGCAACTGAAAAAAAGCAGCACACAGTTTGCGGCTCTCTGGAATGTAAAGGTGAAGGTGAGATTCAATCACAAGGTAACCTAGATAACCCTAGTGACAGACTGTCAAATCTAGTGGCAGGATAACCCTATGTCTTCCCCAGAAGATTTAAGCCCATTACAGGGATTTGGTGAGACAGTGACTGCTCTGGTATAGACGGCTAGCTTAAGTGAACACATTCTGTCCCTACCCTCATATCTGGGAGCTTCAGGAAGATGATATATTGAGAAAAGTCCTATTGTTTTAAACTGAGTTATTCTGTGTAAATTGAAAAACAGGAATAATGATGGGCCAGGGAATCTTCTTCTTCTTCTTCTTTTTTTAACCTATAGAGATTTCAATTAACAAATTCTTAAAAAGAAAAAAACTGGGAGAAAATAAGGGAAGAGATGACATGGTTTTAAAAAAAGGTATTCATTACCTGACTTAAATTAACTATACCCCTTTCATACATCACCTTTACAATAAAAATAAATTAAAAATTTTAGAAATAGAAATTTATTAGTTTCACGAATTCAAACATACAAAAAATGAAGAACAATCTTTATCTATCAAGTTATCTGTGCAAATCCTGAAATGTGAAATAGTTTAAAATAGTTTAATGGTGCACTGCTTCAGTCGAAAACTTTATTTAATGAAATATTCAGTTATTTTAATACTAATGAACAAATAATTGAAATGAGAAACCAAGCCAAAAGTGAATATAGTTTCCTTGTTTATGAAAATTATAAAAAATGTAATTAACCTAAGTAACTCAACTCGCAGCTTTTACAAAATATTAACTAAAATCTATTAACAAAAATGTCCTTTAGGACCTGGGCTGAGACCTGATATTTTCTGATCAGAGTCAATAGAATAGAAAACTTATCTTTAATTTTGCAGTTATCTGTATAATCAGGAAACTTTTCCAACTTTAACCACAAACATGTATTAATATCAATCTTAGAAACAAAAAAGCTTAAGTACATTTATATGTATATATATATGTATATATATACACATACATACTATTCCTAAATACTTTTGTAATCTTATATTAAATTTTTTTATATGACACCATACTTTCCTGAGGAAGATTCCTACTCATCCATTCTTTGACAAAGTTGGCTTTCAATACAGAAGTTAAGAATAAAAAGTAAAGCAACTCGAGATGAACATTAAGCTCTAACAATACTGGGTCAGAAAAACACCTTATTATTTATCACAGTAAAAAATAAAGCCTTGTGCAAAATTTTAAGATAACCATTTTTGAAAAGTTTGAATTTAATAAAAATAAAGAAATTTTCCATTTTGTTTGTTTGTTTTATGATTACAGCATCTTATTTTTGGGTATTGCAGTTTTATTAATGACAAAAAATCTGAGTTTTTCTCTGTTTTTCCTATAAACAACAAGAGACTGGTCTAAGCTAGCAGATCTCCTTTAGACTTCAACTTCATTAAATTTGTTAAGCAAAGTCTTACAAAAACAATTATGATCTTTTTGTCAGAAGTACTTTCAATGTTGATGAATAAATATTTGATATTTTAAACGGCATTTTACATAATAAAAACAAAATGTAGAATAGGAAATATTCATTTTAAAGATATTAAGGGTTAAGATATATATGCACTTCTTCATAATTGCAAAATAATTTAGAACAGTCATCATAGAAGTTAAGTAGTAACAATTTGATGAGAAGAGTATGTTTATAGGTTATACTTTTTAATGACACATGATTAAAATAATGTATAACATATAATAGAATTATAAAATGCCCCAAAACAAAAGAAATTGCACTTACATCCACAGCTCTCTTAATAAAAGGTATCTGTGTGCCACTGTCCAGATCTTCATTTATAATAAGCCTTCTAGCCCACTGACCTGCCCTCACAACACCACTACCATGAATTAAAACCATCAGTTTCTGTGGATTTGTCAATGCATCCTCACTCATAAAGATAAAACTCTTTGGTTCACTTTCTGTGGCATCTACCTGTAATTAAAAAAAAATTAAATAAATAAAGGTTTTCTGATCAAGAACACACACAAATGAGATAAACAGGTAAGGTTACTATAAAATACTGGTTATTACAGATTAAAAAAATAATATTCACTTGAGATTAGTTATTACATATCAGGCAAATGATCAAAACATAATGATTTAAATATAAAATACATGAAAATGAATACTGGAAATAAGACCGTGTACATTATACTTATTTAACAATATAAAATCCTAAATAAAAATAACTGTCACTTGAGCAATGCCTCAATCATTTTGTTTTTAGTTTTAGATTTTCAGATAGGACCTCCAGCTAACTTTGCCTAAGCTTCTAACATTTATCAACAGAAAAAGAAACTAAAATGTAAGTAAGTTTAAGTAAGTTGTACAAGATCACCAAGTAATAATTTTCTGTCTAAAATATATGGTACATGTAACAGAAAATAGAAAACCTTAACTGGAACATTCACTTGCTGGAAAAATATAGAGTAGCCAGGAATACTATAATTTGTACTATAACTACTTAACATTCAAACATATACTATTCTAGGTAAAGGGACTTAAAATTTTCAGTTGGATTGTAAGCACAGCGTTATATAATAATAATTGTGAGTTCAGTTACTTAGGGATCAATAATGCATATTTTGACTCATTTTGTTTATGCCAATTATTTACGTTTTTAACAAAATTTGAAAGACATAAGACTTTCAAACAGGGATAATTTCCCAATCTTTTACTTCATCTGTCATAGTGCACACTAAATGGTATTTCATAAATGGGAATGGAAGACTTTGTATAGGCCAGCCATAGCATCCTGATAGCTTGTAACACAAACACACCTTCACAACCAGATCAACTCAAAGACAGTATAATGCACTAGTTCTCCATTTTATGAACATTATATATTCATATAACTACCAAAATAAGTAAGGAAAACTTCAAATTCTTAAAATGCCCTAGATGCTAAATATTTCTAGTCATTGTTCATGTGAATAGAAAATTATAATAAAATTTCTCTACTAAAACATGTAGATCCTTAACTATTTTTTTTTTTTTTTGGTCAGTTGTGGGCCTAAACTCTGGGCCTGAGCCCCGTCCCTGAGCTCTTCAGCTCAAGGCTAGTGCTCTACCACTTGAGCGACAGCATCACTTCCATTTTTCTGGTGGTTAGTTGGCAATAAGAGTCTCACAGACTTTCCTGCCCAGGCTGGCTTTGAACCATGATCCTCAGATCTCAGTTCCTGAGTAGCTAGGATAACAGGCATGAGCCACTGGTGCCCGGCAATCCTTAACTATTTGTATAAATAAGATGACCAAAGGCAATTCTTTTAGCAAAATAAGAATGGCCACAGGGCTTAAGAAAAATACCATCTTCCTAGTAAAGTCTTTTCTGATTTTGGATACTTCCCCAAGAATCCTATGATTCTTTTCCTGTCTCACTTTCCTCAATAGTACACACCACTTCCAATATATTGTAGGGTTCATGTATGTTTGTATTTGTTTATTCTCCTAAGGATCTCTCCACCAGAATATGTCTACAAAGGCATAAAGTTCTCTATCTTGTATTCAGTTACATTCTCAGTATCTCGAACAAAGCCTGGCATGTTGCCAGTATTCAGTAAATAAAAGAATGAATACAGTTTTGGAAAGGAATCTATCCAGCACAGGCAGTGACTTCCTCTAATAAAAAGCATTTAACTGAATAATGCATCCTCTTTAAATAGTTACCTGCTTCATAAAGCATATGTTGAAGATTAACTAAATGTATAATTATTAAGAAATTCAAAAGAGCTACACAATTTTAAGGATTGAAATGACTTAAATATAACTTTATTATAAGTAACTAAATACAGGAAAAGAGATATGAAGTGAAATGCAGTCACATTAGCTTCACTTACATGCTCTGCACATGCCAAACACATTTTGATGATGAAAGGAAACATGACCAAAGCCACATAAGAACAGAAGTTGGTGAGAGCCAGAAGAAAAGAGGCTTGGGAAGAAAACTCTCTTTGGCCTAAGAACATTACATAAAAATGGAGAACCACTTGAAGTGGCTAAAGAAAATGGTGGTAACAAGAGAGAAAAAGTAAAAGGCAAAGCTGCTTGAAGCCTCAGTAGTTCTCATTCTACACACACACACACACACACACACACACACACACACACACACACACACACACACACACACACACACACACACACACACACACACGAAAGGCCACAGAAATGATAGCTGTTATTCTTGAAGAGAAAATCATCTGTGGCTACAAACTGTCCAAGGTACTGATCATTGTCTCTGTTCTTCTATTTGACCAAGTCTCTGTTTAATAGGCAGAAAATGGAGTCAATTTTTGAAACAATTCAAAGTTACTACTTTGAATTGCAGGAATATGATTTTTAGATTGGAAGAAGGCTTATTTTCCTAAGATAAAATGTTTTTATATATAATGTTATTCTAGAAAATTTAAAAGACTACAAATGAATAAATAAACAACAGTTAACAAGTCATTTTTAGCATAAACTATGATGGTTCACTTAAACATAAAATAAACAGTGAAAACTTGTGATTATCAAGATAATTCACATATCAAACAGTCTCACAAGTATGAGATACCATAATCTAGAACATTTTGCATTTATTTACGTGAAATATAAGCCAAAGACATGATCACACTCTTTACTGTCAAATCATGGGTTTCCACAAGTACTGTCATGTAAAGGGAGGAAGGTTTCCTTTTTAAATAGTTTAGCTACAAAACTGCCGGTTCATTATCAGGGAAAAAAAAGATTTGATAGTTTATTTTTAGTAACAAAGAACATCTTTATTAAAAAAAAAAAAACCACCTCTGCTACTGAAGTAAGGAGTTCAAGTCTGGCTGGTGCCATATTGGCCACATGGTAGATGATAGGGTCTGGCATCTTGTCTTCATGCTGCCGGGGAGGGAAACACCCCTGTCCATCACCTGCCTCCCAGGTGATAGGCTTACAGGAACCTTGGAGGCAGAGGCAGGGGCAGGCACTGGCTAATAGATTACTGAACTGTCACTCCAGTGCCTGGAACTGAGAACTTCTCGTGGATCTGCTCCCTGCTTGGGCCCTATTTAGGCCCAACCCAGCCGCAAAGATACTATGTCCCGTGTCTCAGAGATCTTGTCTTATGTCCTGTCTCCTGGTTTGTCTCCGGTCATCATGGCATCCCAATTCAGCTCTCCAACAGAGAGAGCTTGTATTGTATTGGTTTTTGTTCTTTCTTTCCTCTCTAGCATGTTTCCTAGTTGTGTTATGTGTATTTGGGGGCTGCAGGCCTTTATAACAACTGGCTGCCTGCAGCCTGCTAACTGTAAAGGCTCCAGTTATTTCATATTCCAAAAGGTGGCTTCTGGGGTGTTTCACCTTATAACACTACAACTCTGGGATTTAAGGGAACTCGGGGAAAAAAAAGTTAGTAAAAATTTTAATATGTAAAATACAGGATAATTTAGGATAGATACTAAATTGAGTTTTTTTCCTTTATTTTTCCCCTTCAGAAATGGGGTTTGAATTCAGTGCTTTGACTTCATGCTCTACTACTTGAGCCACATCTCCAGCCATTTTTGCTTTAGTCATTTTGCCTTTTTATTTTCTTGTGTCAGCCTGGACTACAATACCTCTTATCACACCCAAGCTACATACATGTGAAAGTCTAAATAGACCTGTTGAGATGGGGTCTTGCAATTTTCTTTTCCCCTAGGTTGGCCTACATCTGTAATCTGAGTGATTTCAACCTCTTTCATAGCTGAGAAGATAGGGTCTTGTTACAGTACCCCATGATTGGTTGAAATGTGAACATTTGCCCATGTTGATCTCAAACCACTTTCCTCCCAAGTAGCCAGAATTACATGTTTGAGCCACCAACACCCAGAATTTGGATTTTAAGTTCAAAAAATATGGAAAACATTTTAAACCAAAAATAGATGTGATACTTATTCTAGGTCTCATATAAATTTTTCTATATTCTTGATAGTTTTATTGCCTAAATTTAAAATAAGAAAAGAACTATACTTATTAAACCAAGTCCTCTATCCAATTTCAGTTTTTCCATAAAGAAAATTAAATTTTAATATATAATACAACCTATATTGCAACTATATTGTAATTCATACTTGAAATCCATAAATTAAAGTCACCTTCAAAGTTCCATCGAGGCAGATAGGTAACAGAGTTAAAGGACTCAATAAGAATTGTGTTATATCAATGATTACCCTAAGAATCTCTATCATTTCTTCATATATTTTGCAAGAAGCAAAATTAAAAAGACAGGAAGATGGGCCAGCATGATAAAATTCTACCTTAACTTTCCAGAAGACAAAATTCAAGATGCAGTTTTTTTTAACTTTTAAAATTTATTTTTAAAATTATCTTTATGGAGTTGTGTAAAGGCAGTGCCATGTAACAAAGCAGCTTATGAATACAACGCATCTTGATCAGTGTCACCCCTTCAATATTCTCACCCCACTTCGATCTACCCATTCCCTTAGTTTTCTTAGTTTTGTGGTATATACAATGAATTGTTGCTTGTATTCTCCCCTTTCCACCCTTCATTCATCTTCCCCTCTGTCATGGGCCCACTTCTCATCTTGGGTGTACTCATTTCCTGGTGCTGATTTTGTTGAGTTTTGATCTAATCTTCCTACAAAATTACACTACTTGAGCTCTCATAAGTCAATTATACTTCAGTTAAATTCATTTGTAACTACTTGTCTACCACCCAGTATGCTTACTTACAGATTCATAGGTACACTCTAGCTACCACAAATGAGGGAAACCATACAACCTTTGTTACTCTGAGTCTGTCTGAGGGTTTAAATTTTTAGGGTCTAATTTTCTGAGCTCTAAATATATTCTGGATATTAGGCTCTTGTCTGATGTATAGCCGGTAAAAGTCTCCCATTCTGTGAGCTTTCTAGTTAGCTTGTTAGCTATGTCCTTTGCCATGCAGAAACTTTTAAATTTGATGTAATCCCATTTATCAAGTCTTTGATTTATTGTGTTTCTGGATTTTTACTTAGAATGTTTTGACCTGTGCTCAGGAGCCCTAGTGATTTCCCTATCCCTTCCTATAAACGTTTCATGATTTCTGGTCTTACATTGAGGTCTTTGATCCATTTTGAATTGATGCTGGTGCAAGGTGGTGTATTAGCATCTAATTTCAGTTTTTTGCACCAGCACCAGTTTTGCCATTTGTTGAAGAGGTTGTCTTTCTTCCAGCCTATGTTTTTGGCTCCCTTATCAAATATTGAATGGCTATAGGTCTGTGGGTTCATTTTTATATCTTCTATTCTGTACCACTAGTCCTCAGTACTATTTTTGTGCCAATTCCAAGCTGTTTGCATTACTATGACTCTGTAATAGAGCTTAAAGTTTTGTATTATAATTCCCTCAACATTGTGCTGCCTGCTAACGACTGCTCTTGCTATATGGGGTCTTTTGTTATTCATGCAAATTTTTGAATTGTTTTCTTTATCTTAATCAAGAAGATGTTGAGATTTGGATTGGGATTCCATTGAATTTGTGAACTGCTTTGGGAAGTATTGCCATTTTCACAATGTTAGTTCTTCCAATCCAGGAGCATGGAAAGTCTTTACATTTTGTTAAATCTTTTCCAATTTCCTATTTCAAATTTTAAAGAGAATCAACAAAACCAAAAGTTGGTTCTTTAATAAAATTGACAGGTCCCTAGAAAACTTGACTAAAAAGTCATTGAAATAAATAAAATCAGAAATGAAGAGGGAAACATCAATAGAGTCAAGTAAAATTCAGTATATGGGAATACCTTACAAGCCTTTATGGAAATAAACTGGAGAATCTGGTAGAAATGAATACATTCCCAGACAATTGATTATGCCCAAACTGAGCCAGGACAACATAAACCAACTAAACACATCCACCACAAGTAATGAAATTGAATTGGTAATAAAAGACTTATGTTCCAGAAAAGGCCCAGGACCTGATGCCTTCACAGTTGAATTCTATAAGATTTTTTAAAGAACTAACACCAATAATCCTCAAACTCTTCAATGAAATAGAAAAGGATGGATCAGTTCCAAACTCATTCTATGAAACTAATATTACACTCATCCCAAAGCCAGCTAAGGACACATCAAGAAAAGAGAATTTTAGACCAATTTCCTTAATGAATATAGATGCAAAACTTCTCAACAAAATACTGGCAACTGAATCAAACTGAATCCAACAACTAATAAAGGAAATCACACACTATGATCAAACGGGATTTAGCCCAAGGATGAAAAGCTGGTTCAACATACATAAATCAATAAATGTAATACAACATATAAACAGAAGCAAGCACATTTCCTCTAAAATCAGGAAGGAGATAAGTAAGGGTATGCACTTTCTCCACTCCTTTTTAATATAGTGTTGGAATTTCTAGTAAGAGCCATAGGCAAGAGAAAGACATAAAGAGGACCCAAAGATGGAAAAAAAAAGAAGTAAAACTATCCCTTTTGGCAGATGACAAGATCCTGTACCTAAAGGACCCTAAAGTTTCCTCTCCCATCCTACTAGAGATAATCCAAAACTTCAGCAAAGTAGCAGGGTATGAACTCAAACCACGAATATCAGTAGCTTTTCCGTATGCCAACAATGATTGAGATTGAAATCAGAAAGCAAGCCCATTTGCAATTGCCCCCCCCCCAAAATAAATACTTAGGAATTAACAAAAAATCTGAAAGACCTCTATGGTGAACACTTTAAGAATTCGAATATGCAGTGTTTTTTCTAGATCTAGCATCAAAACTTCTTAAAGAAGGATGTTTCCAAATAAACCAAGGGTTGACAAATATACAGAATAATGATCATTGTTTTCAATGAATCAATCACTAATAGTGTGACCTAGAAAGTGAATTTACCTATAATATAAAAATGTAAACCATTTCCATTGAACTATATCAATCTGTGTGATGAATAGCACTTAGAAATCCTCAAAGCCTTCCATTTGTATTAGAATAACATTATTCAAGAAATTTGAAAATCTTATGAAAAATTTTCATGCAAAGCTTTGGTTTTGGATTAAGTCTTCCAGACTCATATACATCACAAAATTAGAGCATCATTTCACATAGATTACTATTTTATCACTTGAAAGCTTTATGTTTCATGTTTTAAATAAAAACAGAAGTTTTTTATTTGCTGTAGTTTAAGAAGTTCAACCAGAGAATTTGAACCTATCAAACCTTCCACTCCAAAAGAATAGAATATACAAAATATCTAGAGTGTTCTGCCAGAAAGGAAAGGAACAGTGTTATAAAACAGAAAAGGAAGAATGATGAAAGAGACAACATATAGATGTACTGTTCCCATAAACTAACATGTTGAATTGTAACTCCTTTATACAAGTAATTAATGATAACTACGAAAAAAGATTTCAGAAATGTGTATATGTAATGTATATGAAGAAATAGCATATATTTTAAAGTAATGAATATTGATTTACTTCAATTAAATAAAAATATTTCAGAAAAATGTAAAAGGATTTATACTATCTATAATCTACTATCTACTATCTACAATACTATCTCTTATCACATGAACAAAAAAGAGTGGAAGCAAGTACTCTTAGTTTTTTCTTAACATTGAAGATTATTACTTTAAAGAGCTCTTACACAGAGATGTAAGATACTGATAGGTATTTTACATAACCAATATAAGCACAATAGAACCTTTTAAGTATAAAATTATCACAGTTAACCTAAAAATTAAAGTTTTCTTCTGAATTGCAAACCATCTTAGTGAGAAGTTACATTTTATTTGCAATACACTTAAAAAATGTTACTTACTGGAATTGAGATTTTTTTCAAATTACAATCCTTTTCCAGGAGATCATAAACATATTTTGTGATGATCTAAGAAGGAAAGAAATAAAACATTAAGATGCAATTTCATTCACTTTGCAAGTTTATAAAATTGAAAGTTATTGCTCTGAGTAAGCTTATCTCTATCTTAGACTGCTTTGATAGCACATTAACAGACTTTCCAGAGCTGTGGAGCACCTTTCTACTCAAGGTTAGAGCCATTAAAACACACACACACACACACACACACACACACACACACACACCAACTCAGAAAACTTATGACTTTCTCTGTTGAAAAAGAATACTTTTAAAGTATTTTTCTTCCCCCATTCCAATGTCTCTAGAATCTGTTTCCTTTACAATATCACTACAGATATTATAGCCAATATAATTTTGTGAAGTATGAATCTCAAGACTTATTTGTATTCACTAAATCAAGGAGAAAAATGTCACTGGTATTGCAAGCAAATAATACAGTATTTTCAATCCTAGGTTTATAGAATGCATAATAGTCCTGTTACAGTCTCCTCAAAGATGGCTTTGTCCCAATTCTTGGAACCTGTGAGTGCTATGTTACATGGTAAATAGACCTGCACATATAATTAAGATTAAAAACCTTGAAAAATTTAGCCAGGATTATCATGGTGGGTTCTTTCTAATCTTTTAAATCCTCAAAAGTGGAAAATTACAGAAATAAAATATGTCAGAGAGATAGAATGTAAGATGGACTTAATTAGCTGCTCTTGGTTTTAAAAGTAGAAATAGTCAAAAGCCAACGAAGTTTGGCTTTTGTAATTAGTAGGAAAATGAAACCACAGTCTTAGAACTGCAAGGAACTGAATGCATACAACAACCCAAATAAGCAATAAATGCATTGTCTCCTATAGCCTACAAACTCTGTCTATACCTTGATTTTAGTATAATGAGTCTCAAATTTGACTTCTAGTCTACAGAATTAAAAGACAGTAAGTCTGTGTTGTTTTAAGCAACAACTGGCAAGTGTTACAGCATCAACAAACTAATATATAATTTCTATCCTAATATAAATTATAATTGTAAACAGTAAATTGTAAAAAGTAAACAAGGAATAGGAATATTTAATGGATAATTTTAATGGCCCTTTAAGGAGTGTTTCTCCTCCTTAAAATAGTTTTTTGCAAAATATCTTACAGAATAACTTTAGGAACATAATTAAAATACAAATTTTGTGAAACAAAATGAGAAAGTAATTCTTTATTTAGAAAATTAATATGACAATTGCTTTGATGCTATATTCTGTAATCCACAATAGATCTGTTAGTTTTCTTCACAGAGTCAAAAATTCTTTCTTCTATATACACACAGTCAGTATATTAAACGTATGCTAGTACAACTTTATCTTGGTTAGTTAACAGCAATTTCAAAGTTATGAGACCACATTAAACTAGGTAATAATTGTCTGGTTTATTAATCTACTAATATTCCTATATTGAATACAATAATTTAATTATGTTTATTATATTTCACTGGAAAGTAGTAATACTATAGTACTTGAAACAGTAAACTAAATATATAGACTCAAACATAAAACCATGAAATCACATAATGGCCTTACTCCACTTCAAGAGAAGTGCTTAACTAAATAAGATTAGCTAAAACGTATAATGTTCTAAAATTTTCTATAAAAGCATAACATATGCTTATAGCTAAAGCAACAACAAAAGTAAACTTGAAGTCTACCACTATGCAAGAGATAGAACATAAGAGAAATTTAAAAGGTAAACTACTTTGACTGCTTAAATCTTATATCAATGCGAACTGTAAGATTCTCAATTTTGATTAAAAAGGATGATACCAAATTTGAAAATCCTTACATTGGATATAGAGAGCAAGTATCTGTTCTAAAATTTGTAATATATCAGTTCAAGAAATATAGTAATAGGGCTGGGAAGGTGGCTCAGTGGTAGAGTGCTTGCCTTGCATGCCTGGGCCCTGGGTTCAATTCCTCAGCACCACATAAGCAAAAAGAAAAAAGCCAGAAGTAGCGCTGAAGCTCAAGTGGTAAAGAGCTAGCCTTGAGCTGAAGAGCTGAGGGACAGCGCCCAGGCCCAGAGTTCAGGTCCCACAACCAGACCCCCCCCAAAAAAAAATAAATAAAAGAAATATAGTGATAAATCCAGCAGGAGTTGGAGAAACATTATCTAATTTGCCTGATCTGTTTTGTTCTCTAATTCCTGACTACAAAAGAAAAATAACTATAGATTGAATCATGTCTCTCTAAGGCAGTGTTTTTCCTCTGCCCTAATCATTGTCCCAGAAATATATCTCATGGCAACTTTTCCAGTTAACTTTCTCTGCTATACCCAACCTTCTGGGGTAGGGTAAAGTGTCCATCTCAGTACTCCTCTGGACAAGATTGAATTTTATCATTGAACACACTATTTCAATGTCAATTACCTTTTTGCTACACAATTAGTCTCAGAAGATGGTGATTTCAGTATCCTAACCTTTTTCTTATTATTTAAAGGAGACTGTCTGGCAAATTTAACATGGTACAAGAATTCTCCCCATCCACTCAGTCTACATCTTTTTAGGAAGTTAAGTGTCTTCAATTTTTAAAAATCTTCCTAATTGCTGAATCAAGCTTAGGAAAAGAAGGTATCAAGAATTCATTGTCTTCCAGATTGCATAGGGTTGCAATCTGCATTTGGAAAAAAATTTTAAATATGAAAAAAGTGTTTTTGTCAGAATGTTATCTGTGCTCAACAATTCTTGAGAAACTGCTCAAAGATGGAAAACAAAAGGCTTAGACAACCAACTATTCTCAAACATTTATCTTTGTTCTAGTAAGAAACACAGGAATTTCATTTCCAATTTAATGTTCAAAGAGCCTGAAAGTAGTTACTCCAGACCTCACAAAAAGTAAAGCGCTTAACAAACTAAAAGTTAACACTTTCTAGAGATCCATAGGAGATTTAAGAACATTATCAGGCAAACTTCCCTGGAACCTGGAGAAAAAAGCAATTCCATACAGAGAATCAGTTCACTGGGAGCAAAATCCCAGGAAAGGACACTCTCAGTCATGATACTACTGGGTAGGATCACTTTAAATCGATGGATTCATCAGTTTAAATAATCAGTGTGGATAATTTTAAGGTTTAAAAGATATTGACCTCATAATTGGTGTGGCAAACTTTGTGAGGGTTGTTTCTAGAAGGGTCTCACTGTAAAAAAATATAGATAGGGGCTGGGAAGGTGGCTCAGTGGTAGAGCTTTACATGCACGAAGCCCTGGATTCCTCAGCACCACATAAGCAAAAAAGAAAAAAGACGGAGGTGGCGTTATGACTCATGTGGTAGAGCGCTAGCCTTCTGAAGAGCTAAGGGAAAACACCCAGGCCCAGAGTTCAGGCCCCATGACTGGACCCCCCCCCCAAAAAAAAAAAAGATAGGGGCTGGGAAGGTGGCTCAGTGGTAGAGGGCTTGCCTCACATGCACGAGGCCTGGGTTCAATTCCTCAGTACCACATAAACAGAAAAGGCCAGAAGTGGTGCTGTGGCTCAAGTGGTAGAGCACTAGCCTTGAACTGAAATGCTCAGGGACAGCACTCAGGCCCAGAGTTCACAACCCAGGACTGGGAAAACAAAAAACAAAAAACAACAACAAAAAGGACAGAAATAACAATTTGAAATAATCCTGTTCTTTGTTTCCATCAGTAACATATTACTGCTTTATATATGCCAATATGGACAGAAGTAAAATGCTAAATTCAAGCTCACTGAAAGAGAGACAACAGAGAAGATAAACATGGGAATATGAGAAGAAATTTGAAAACTGAATGTAAGAAGAAATTTTGGCTGCACACAACCCAACTAAAGCAAATAGTAACACTACTTAACTACTGGTTACATACACATAAAATTTCATACAACAGACCCATCTATTTGATATCCCATCAAATGTTCAACAAAAAATTACCAGGCATGCTAAAAGGAAAAACAAACAAACAAGACAACAACACATAAAAACATCAAATCTACATCAAGTATCAGAGCCAAATACAAATGTGGAACAGATATTGGAATTATCAATCTGAGAGTTTTTAACAACTACAATTAATATGCTAATTGATAAATTAGAAAAATGGACAATATATTAAATAACACGGGCAATGTAAGTAGAAACATGGAAACTAATCAATAAACAAAACAGCCACTGTAATAGACGTAAGGAATGACTGTGATGGGCTCACTAGAAGACAGGTCAGGGCCAAGGCAAGCATCATGGAGCTTGAAGATAAGTCAATACAGATGTCTAAAATTTTAATAAAAAACAAGAGTAAGAGGACATTTTCAGAGAATCATGACACAGTTGCAAAAAAGTAAAAATTTCACATATAATACAAGAACAAAGGAAAAGACTATTATTTGAAGTAATTATTTGAAGTAATGATTTTTCAAAATTACTGAAAGATACAAAAGGATAAATCCAGGAAATATAGAAAATACCAAACAGGATAACTGTAAGCAACTGTATTTATCACATTCTGTAGAAAATCAAAGAAAGGAAAATCATGAAAGAAGTCAGAATTAAGGATGTGGGAAGGAAACCTTTACTACAAATGAATCTGGGTAAGAATTACATTGAAAACCTCTTAGATACTACGCAAGCAAAAGGAAGGTGCAATACAATATACAGTGATGAAAAGGAACCCCAGGCTAAATTATAAGAACAAAAAACTACTCATAAATAACATTATACCTTAAAAAATTATCTGGCAAAGGTGAACGTTTTTTTTCCCCCCCAGTACTGGGGCTGGAACTCAGGACCTGAGCTCTGGCCCTTGGCTTTTTTGCTTAAAGCTGGGGCTCTACCACTTGAGCCACCACTCCACTTCTGTCTTTTTTTGATAGTTTATTATGAAAAGAGCACACATTTTCTGGCTTTTAAACATGATCTTTAAATCTCAGCCTCCTGGGTAACTAGAATTACAGGCATAAACCATTAGTACCTGGCTGAAAAATAATCTGTTAAGACAAGTTGAGAAAAAAAAAATTGCCAGTAAACCTT